ATGAATAAGGAAAATGAATGACTTCCCGACAAGCAAAACAATTCGATCAGGATGAGATTCGAGGTCACGCGGGGAAACCCCAATGGATTAGCAGTCCATCGCCTTAACCACTCGGCACTAGGAAACCCCAATGGATTAGCAGTCCATCGCCTTAACCACTCGGCCACCTGATCTGACAACCAATTGGAATATTGCTCACTCTGAGATTTGGAATGATATGCTCCCGGAATACAACATGTTTCTCTTGGATAATATAGCGTATGATTAAGGAAAATGAATCCCTCCCCGACAAGCAAAACAATGGAAACCCCAATGGATTAGCAGTCCATCGCCTTAACCACTCGGCCACCTGATCTGACAACCAATTAAAATATTGCTCACTCTGAGATTTGGAATGTTATGCTCCCTGAATACAACAGTATTGCTCACTTTGAGATTTGGAATGATATGCTCCCAGAATAGAACATCTTTCTATTGGATAATATAGCATATGATTAAGGAAAATGAATGCCTTCCCGACTAGCAAAACATTCCGATCAGGATGAGATTCGAACTCACGCGGGGAAACCCCAATGGATTAGCAGTCCATCGCCTTAACCACTCGGCCACCTGATCTGACAACCAATCGGAACATTGCTCACTCTGAGATTTGGAATGATATGCTCCCAGAATAGAACATCTTTCTATTGGATAATATAGCATATGATTTAGGAAAACGAATGCCTTCCCGATCAGCAAAACATTTCGATCAGGATGAGATTCGAACTCACGCGGGGAAACCCATCAAAACATTTCGATCAGGATGAGATTCGAACTCACGCGGGGAAACCCCGTGGATTAGCAGTCCATCGCCTTAACCACTCGGCCACCTGATCTGACAACCAATTGGAATATCCTCACTCTGAGACTTGGAATGATATGGTCCCAGAATAGAACATCTTTCTCTTGGAGAATATAGCCCATGATTTAGGAAAACGAACGACTTCCCGTCTAGGAAAACAATCCGATCATGATGAGATTCGAACTCACGCGGGGAAACCCCAATGGATTAGCAGTCCATCGCCTTAACCACTCGGCCACCTGATCTGACAACCAATCTGAACATTGCTCACTCTGAGATTTGGAATGATATGCTCCCAGAATAGAACATCTTTGTTTTGGATAATATAGCATATGATTTAGGAAAATGAATGCCTTCCCGACTAGCAAAACAATTCGATCAGGATGAGATTCGAACTCACGCGGGGAAAGCAATGGATTAGCAGTCCATCGCCTTAACCACTCGGCCACCTGATCTGACAACCAATTGGAATATTGCTCACTCTGAGATTTGGAATGATATGCTCCCGGAATACAACATCTTTCTCTTGGATAATATAGCGTATGATTAAGGAAAATGAATCCCTCCCCGACTAGCAAAACAATTCGATCAGGATGAGATTCGAACTCACGCTGGGAAACCCCAATGGATTAGCAGTCCATCGCCTTAACCACTCGGTCACCTGATCTGACAACCAATCGAGGAATATTGCTCACTCTGAGATTTGGAATGATATGCTCCCAGAATAGAACATCTTCGTCTTGGATAATATAGCATAGGATTAAGGAAAATGAATGACTTCCCGACTAGCAAAACAATTCGATCAGGATGAGATTCGAACTCACGCGGGGAAACCCCAATGGATTAGCAGTCCATCGCCTTAACCACTCGGCGCCTGATCTGACAACCAATTGGAATATTGCTCACTCTGAGATTTGGAATGATATGCTCCCAGAATAGAACATCTTTATATTGGATAATATAGGATGAAGGAATATGAATGCCTCCCCGACTAGCAAAACAATTCGATCAGGATGAGATTCGAACTCACGCGGGGAAACCCCAATGGATTAGCAGTCCATCGCCTTAACCACTCGGCCACCTGATCTGACTATCAATTGGAATATTCGAACATCTTTTTATTGGATAATATAGCAAATAATTTAGGAAAACGAACGACTTCCCGTCTAGGAAAACAATCCGATCAGGATGAGATTCGAACTCAAGCGGGGAAACCCCAATGGATTAGCAGTCCATCGCCTTAACCACTCGGTCACCTGATCTGACAACCAATGGGAATATTGCTCACTCTGAGACACTCGGCCACCTGATCTGACAACCAATTGGAATATTGCTCACTCTGAGATTTGGAATGATATGCTCCCAGAATAGAACATCTTTCTGGTGGATAATATAATAATTTAGGAAAACGAATGACTATCCGACTGCCAAAACAATCCGATCAGGATGAGATTCGAACTCACGCGGGGAAACCCATCAAAACATTTCGATCAGGATGAGTTTCGAACTCACGCGGGGAAACCCCATTAGGTTAGCAGTCCATCGCCTTAACCACTCGGCCACCTGATCTGACAACCAATTGGAATATTGCTCACTTTGAGATTTGGAATGATATGCTCCCAGAATATAACATCTTCGTCTACACTCTGAGATTTGGAATGATATGCTCCCAGAATAGAACATCTTTCTGGTGGATAATATAGCATATAATTTAGGAAAACGAATGACTATCCGACTAGCAAAACAATCCGATCAGGATGAGATTCGAACTCACGCGGGGAAACCCCAATGGATTAGCAGTCCATCGCCTTAACCACTCGGCCACCTGATCTGACAACCAATCGGGAATATTGCTCACTTTGAGATTTGGAATACCCTGAATAGAACATCTTTCTCTTGTAAAATATAGCATATGATTAAGAAAATTGAATGCGTTCCCGACAAGCAAAACAACTCGATCAGGATGAGATTCGAACTCACGCGGGGAAACCCCAATGGATTAGCAGTCCATCGCCTTAACCACTCGGCCACCTGATCTGACAACCAATTGGAATTGCTCACTTTGAGATTTGGAATGATATGCTCCCAGAATAGAACATCTTTGTATTGGATAATATAGCATATAATTAAGGAAAACGAGCGACTTCCCGTCTAGGAAAACAATCCGATCAGGATGAGATTCGAACTCACGCGGGGAAACCCCAATGGATTAGCAGTCCATCGCCTTAACCACTCGGCCACCTGATCTGACTACCAATGAGGAATATGCTCCCTCTGAGATTTGGAATGATATGCTCGCAGAATAGAAAATCTTTCTCTTGTAAAATATAGCATATGATTAAGAAAATTGAATGCGTTCCCGACTAGCAAAACAATTCGATCAGGATGAGATTCGAACTCACGCGGGGAAACCCCAATGGATTAGCAGTCCATCGCCTTAACCACTCGGTCACCTGATCTGACAACCAATCGGAACATTGGTCACTCTGAGATTTGGAATGATATGCTATGAATGCCTCCCCGACTAGCAAAACAATTCGATCAGGATGAGATTCGAGCTCACGCGGTGGATAATATAGCATATGATTTAGGAAAACGAATGCTTCCCCGACTAGCAAAACAATTCGATCAGGATGAGATTGGAACTCACACGGTGATAATATAGCATATGATGAAGGAAAATGAATGACTTCCCGACTAGCAAAACAATTCGATCAGGATGAGATTCGAACTCACGCGGGGAAACCCCAATGGATTAGCAGTCCATCGCCTTAACCACTCGGCCACCTGATCTGACAACCAATCGGAACATTGCTCACTCTGAGACACTCGGCCACCTGACCTGACGACCAATTAGGATATTGCTCACTCTGAGATTTGGAATGTTATGCTCCCTGAATACAACACATATTGCTCACTCTGAGATTTGGAATGATATGCTCCCAGAATAGAACATCTTTCTCTTGGATAATATAGCATATGATTAAGGAAAATGAATGACTTCCCGACTAGCAAAACAATTCGATCAGGATGAGATTCGAACTCACGCGGGGAAACCCCCGGATTAGCAGTCCATCGCCTTAACCACTCGGCCACCTGATCTGAAAAGCAATTGGAATATTGCTCACTCTGAGATTTGGAATTATATCCTCCTGAAATAGAACATCTTCGTCTTGGATAATATAGCATATAATTAAGGAAAATGAATGCCTCCCCGACTAGCAAAACAATTCGATCAGGATGAGATTCGAACTCACGCGGGGAAACCCCAATGGATTAGCAGTCCATCGCCTTAACCACTCGGCCACTAATCTGACAACCAATTGGAATATTGCTCTAGACTTGGAATGATATGGTCCCAGAATAGAACATCTTTCTATTGGATAATATAGCATATGATTAAGGAAAATGAATGACTTCCCGACTAGCAAAACAATTCGATCAGGATGAGATTCGAACTCACGCGGGGAAACCCCCAATGGATTAGCAGTCCATCGCCTTAACCACTCGGCCACCTGATCTGACAACCAATCTGAACATTGCTCACTCTGAGATTTGGAATGATATGCCCCAGAATAGAACATCTTTGTTTTGGATAATATAGCATATGATTTAGGAAAATGAATGCCTTCCCGAATAGCAAAACATTTCGATCAGGATGAGATTCGAACTCACGCGGTGAAACCCCAATGGATTAGCAGTCCATCGCCTTAACCACTCGGCCACCTGATCTGACAACCAATTGGAATATTGCTCACTCTGAGATTTGGAATGATATGCTCCCAGAATAGAACATCTTTCTATTGGATAATGTAGCATATAATTTAGGAAAACGAATGACTTCCCGACTAGCAAAACAATCCGATCAGGATGAGATTCGAACTCACGCAGGGAAACCCCAATGGATTAGCAGTCCATCGCCTTAACCACTCGGTCACTAGGAAACCCCAATGGATTAGCAGTCCATCGCCTTAACCACTCGGCCACCTGATCACTGGCAGCTGCCTGCATTGAAATGATCCAGAAATGAAAGTTAGAAATATGAAAGTGTATTTTCTTAAGAAGT